ATGGGTCCATAATTTGACTACTGTAGTCCACTATAGGTTCCAAAATCATTATAGTTCCCACCACCAGCATAGTTACCACCACCAAAATTTCCTCCTTCGTTGTCACCACCATATCCTCCTCCACCATGACCATATCCACCATCTTGGTTTTCATATCCTGGTCCACCACCACCGTACCCTCCTCAATACTGTAACCAGGGCCACCACCATGGTTTCCACCATCACCTCCAAATCCATTATATCCACAGTCACCTCCTCCATAACTACCTCTGCTCCCACCTCCTCCACCACCATAGCCTCCTCCTCCACCATTGTTTCCACCATGGCCAAAATTCCCTCCACCACCTCCAAAGTTTCCTCCGCAACCCATAAAGATGCCAGATCCACCTCCACAGCCTCTTTGTGATCCAGCAGACTGCATCTCTTGCTCAGAAAGGGCCTTTTTCACTTCACAATCATGCCCACTAACAGTGTGGTATTTCTGAACAGCAACTTTATCAACTGTATCATGATCATCAAAAGTTACAAAAGCAAATCCTCTCTTTTTCCCCACTCTGCCTGTCTTCCATAACTTCTACGGTTTCAATCTTGCTATATTTTTCAAAGCAGCCTCTCAAATTATATTCTTCTGTATCTTCTTTAATACCGCCAATGAAAATTTTCTTCACCGTTAGATGGCACAGGCTTTATGCAGTCCTCTCTAGAATCAGCGCTCTTTGGTTCCACTACAGCCTGTCATCTTTGTGTGGTCGAGCACACCCTGCTGCATCCACCTCCTCAACACCAGAGTAAGTCACAGAACCAAAGCCTCCGAGCGCTTGTTTGAGGGTCTCTCATTACCACACCACCTATGAGTGTGCCCCATTTCTCACAATGTTCTCTTAAGCTATCATCCATTGTCTCAAAGCTCAGACCACCAATAAACAGCTTCCTCAGCTGCTCTGCTTCCTTTGGATCATGGCCCTCCATTTTGAGAGCTGACTCGCCTCTTCCAGCTCTATAGTTTATTTTTAATTGACACATAGTTATATGTATTTGTGATAAATAGAGTGATATTTCAATATATATATTAATGTTTAATGATCAGACCAGAGTCATTGGTAATATTTTTAAAAAATTTATCAAAGTACCTGAGAAAAAAGAGGAAGGTTAAGATATTCTAATAATTCTAGTAGTAAATAGTTTTTTCAGCTGGCTTCCTAAATAAGCACTCCCTATATTTAACCCAGTTGTTTAAGAGTAACTTCATCCAAAATGTCTATTTTATATCAAGGGAGTGGATGGCTTGTGTGTTATCCCTGATGTGTGAACCATGGAAGGATTTTTAATGTCTTCATGAGGTAATATTTCCTATGCCAGAATATATTGGGTGATCATTTCCAATAAACAGATTATCTAAACTGTCCCTAAATACTTCCGCCCATTAAGTCATCTAACAAATCAGTTCTTGATGGTGATGATAAGATACCACTTTCCATTTTCCAATGTAAAGGGACGTAACATTTACTAAAGGCCTTTTATGCGCACAGTGCTATATCTTCCCTGTCTTCATTAATTTCAGAATAATCCCATATAACATACAGTATCACCTTTTTTACACACAAGGGAATTAAGGTCCAGAGATGGCAAATATTTGCTTATAGTCAGATAGATTGCAAAGCTATTTTTCCACTATTCTAGGCTCTCTGCCCCACTGGCCAATATAAATATCCATACACTCCAAGGCAAATCAAGAATTGCATAATCCAATTTACCAGGAATGCTGAAAGCACATTAAGGTAATGTTTTAAATTATAAATATGTCTGTTAGGAGTGAAAAAACCATGAGAATAACAGCCTGCTACCTCCTACTCCTGCTCCTGTTCCTTCCTTTTCAATGCAAAAATGGTGCAATCCTCACCCATCTTTTTCAAAAATATATCTTATATTTAAGGGTAATCCATTAGGACACATAATTTCCCTCTAACTGCTACTCTGCTTCCCCCTGCTAGCAGCTGTGCTGTGAAACTCGGTCTGTGCATTCCTTCCTTTTCAGACTTCCTCATCATTCTCCACCCCTGCTTCTGGTTTCCACTGAAAGAGATCTCAGAAATCACAAATGACTGCAGTCTTGCCACGTGCTGTAAATACGTTTTGCTCCTGACCTTTTCAGTAACATTCCCTTGTTTTTGAAACTCTGTCCTCCCTTGCCTGGCATTTCTTCTCTTCGGCCCATTTTCTAGCTGCTTTCCTGGCTTCTCAGACCCGCAGTCTCTTTGTCCTCCCTTAAAAGATGATGTCCACTGTGGTTCCATCCTCCAACACATCACCACTTTCTCATACTCCCTGATGACCTTACCTATGCCGAAAGGACTCAAATCTATTTCATCAGCCGTGGTCAATCTCCAGACTTCTAGAAGTTATAAACACACGCCTATCGTACTTCCTCACCTGAGCATTTTATAAGCACCTCCAATTAAACATAATCAAAATAGAATGAATCATGCCCCTCCCCTATTTTGCACTTTTTCCCATTTTCTCCGTCTGCTCATGACCTCCCAACTCTCCAAAGCTGACAACTTTCTACTTTTTACTTTCTTTGAGAACTATGGGAAAAGTTTGTCCGATGCAAGAACTTTCTTGGACTAATCTCACACTGACCTAACTCCTCCTGCACACATAATGAACTGGCCCACCATGCTCTCACCAATGGTCTATGGTTGTTTATTATACGTTTCTTGTGAACTACAAGGTCAGTTTTCCAAAGACAAAGGAGTCCTTGGCTTAACTGCTGTACCTGCAGCACTCCTTATGCCACTGTGTATTTGTCAGGCACTAAAAATACACATATTGAAGGTTCTGTCGAGTCTTAAAGATGATGTTTGCCGTTTTTCTGAGCTCTAAAGATAATTATTCTCAGCTCCTATGTTCTCAACATCCCAATATCTGGTTTGTTAAGTAGTATCTAGATATTAAAGGGAAAACTACAAATATCAGGTAAACAAAAGGCATGCAACATTCATCCACCTAATAAAAAGGTAAGGTTAATTAAACAATAAATTCGTTTGTTTATTAAGGTCTTAAATCTCCATGAAAGTTGATTAACCATTTAATTCTTGATTATCAAATCATCTGGCTATATCAAGTGATACTAGTTTTCATTACAGAATTTCATCATGTGAATTTTCTACAGAAAGTCAGTAGCTAAAAACGCTATTAACAGAAAAGTGAATTAGGGAAAAGACTAACATAAGATAAAAGGGGATTTTAATGACAATTTATTATTTTTATAGAACATCTAGCTAGGTTTTTCCAACTCTTATTTTAAATGAAATTCTCTATCTTACTGCATATTCTTGCTTCAGAGTGTTACTTTTCAAAAGAATTGCAGTAAAACACTCATGATGTAAAAAGTCCGTAAACTGCAAAGCCATTTTTCATTTGGGTGAGCAGAAAATAATGTTCCAGATATGTATAACAGTAGAAATGGTCTCTGCTTATCCTGTAATAAAACTAATCATGCTGGCTTCACTTCCTGGGTGCTTACCTTAAGCCACACATTATGCTAAGCACTTTACCTTATTTAAATCTCTTAATGAATTAAGAGAATTAACTAAATATTTGATTATCCTTTTCCAGAGGAGAAAAGTAGAGCTTAGGGAGATTAATTGGCCCAAACATGGTTCCAAATGCTTCTCATGTACAAATCCTGAAATCACCTTCGCCCCATTTTCTAATCTTACAGAAGCCTAAACAGCTTTCTTTATATTTCTTCATGCACTCATAAAATATTCATCAAATATTTTCTATGCATCAGGTGCTATTCTAGGTGCCGGAGATACAATGATGGAAATAAAAGCCCTAGTTTCAGGAAAATTATATTCAACAGCCATAGTCACTAAAATAAAATATAATATCAAATACATTATTCTAATTAAAACTAGTAAGAAGTTAATTCCTAGTTTTCAGTTTTCCAGTATGTATTTAATGCCTGATTCTCTCCCATCTCACCATTAAAAAAAAAAGTATATTATTTAAAGAAATAAAGGTCCAAGAAAAGGTCCTCCAAATAGACCAGACTACTTAATAGAAAAAATAGCATAGACAAACAGTCAGACGCTGATTGCCGCAAAGATCATCTCAGATGTGAAGGCTGGGAAGGTTAGTATGGTTGGCTGCTAGTGTAGCCAGAGGTCACGTGTTTACAGATCCTGAAGGACCCATCTGTGTCCCACACCTTTCCCTTTTCATTCCTCTGGCCTACCTCCTGTTCACCCTTTGTCTCATCCAAAACCAAACAGTAACACTTAACAGTAACACTCCTTAGGCCAAATTCTTGTTTCAAATCCCAAAACAAACTCAAAAAAAGCAAAAAACAAAAAATCAGTGGAAGAGAGCACAAGAAATGGGTATTTTCATAAGTTTAAAAAATAACAGTTTTGTAATTATTTTTAAATTAAAGAACCAAACTTTAAACTACTCCTTGGTGTTATTTCTACCCAGCCTGTATATTTGATTGTCAATATGCCTTTAGTGGAGGAACAAAAGTTCTTAGTATGTTCTTATCATTTTACTGACGATCTTAGCACAGTTTGGTATATCAGACATAAACCCTTGCTTCTCCAATGGTTCAAACAATAAAAGCCACCTACTAATAAAAGAGTAGCCACTGAATATAAATCTTACACTACGCGGGCTACATGCCATCAGCAACAAACTGCCCACATCTCTACTGCAGCAGACATTCTGAAGCTCAAACAAAATAGGACATTTCAGACCGTACCTTATTCCAGCTGACTTTATAGTCAATCCGTTGCAGTTTGTTGTTGCCGTTGTTTTCATCTTAAGACTTTGACTAATATTTGCCTTATACAATGTATAATCCCAATCCAGACCATAATAGGCAATGATCAAATTTATATAACCACCGTACTTGCAAATACAATGTGTTTTAGAAACAAACTGCCTAATTCGCTGATTCAGAGTCACGAACTTAACAGTTCCATATCCACTGGTCTTACCTCTGCAGCTAAATAATTTCCAGTTGCAAGGTGTTTAAATCTGAACAGGCTGTTCCACTGTCCTGCACCCCCGCGGCATGGGTCATGATGAACCACCTACAGACAAAAAGAGTTATGACAATAATGACAAAATGCTATTCTTGTCCTGGCGGGGCACTTACAAGAAGTACCTTCCTGTTATTGCTGATCTGTCAAGCCTAATATATGTTTCAAAGAGTACAACGTGTCAGAAAAACAAAATTTTCCATAAGTGAGCCAGAGACATGTTATAACACTTACAATCTTACTAGGCATGCATGGTGCTCATGCCTTACATTTGCAAACACTGCCTTAACCCGAAAGGCACGTTTCCAAAGCCAAAAGTGGAAATACTGTGGGTTCTCCCCACTCTCAAAGTTTGTTATTCAAATATTCATTCAACAGAAGGTCAGGTACTCTTCAAGACCACAGAGACATGGCAGTGGGTATAGAGTTTTCATTCCAAAGGAGAAGAGAGAATTAGCTAATAAATAAGATGTAACAAATACCAGGAAAGGGACAAACAGAATACATGATGGAGTAACTAGAAAAGGCTGCTGCAGATGTAGCAATCCACATGGGCCACTCAGTGATGACAAGGGATCTCACACCTGGATTAAGGGAATGAGGCAGACACCGGAAGAGAGCATGCCAGGCAGAGAGAAGCCCAACTGTTCAGGCCAGGAGATCTGAACTATCCTAGTTTCTGGCCCTTTCCAAGTATGCTTTTTACAAACACCACATCCCTTGGTACCCTGTCCTTCAAATTGACCTTGCCCTGAGTGCTGAGCCTCTGGGCTCCCCGGGGATGAAAGCAATAGAGGGAAGGGGTCAGGCAGCTGGGTATGACAGAGGGTGTAGTGCAGTAGAAAAGCTCAGGGTTTGAGTGGTATTTGACTATGTGATAGTCACAGTAATGTAATATCTTCAAGCTTTGTGGACTCATGTACAAAATGGGGTTAATTCACATACTGTTATAAAGATTAACTATAAGGCATAGCAAAGAGCAAAGACAATTTTTCAGAAGTCTCCCTCAACAGTGTACCCTTGGGGTCAGTCTGCAGTCTCATTCTGTGTGCCCACAAATGCAACTTTCTAATGCCTCTAGGAGACTCCAGCTTTTGTAAGTTCCTCTGATTCCATAATTCAAATAAAATAATACTTATGAACAAACTTCAAAGTGTACAAAGTCTTAGACTCCCTGTGGTCAAAATCCAACCCATCCTTTAAGGGTCAGTTCTCAAATCAAACTTCTTCCACAAATTCTTGGCTAACTGCCCTAGCCACGGTGATCTCATCAAGTCTGAATTCTTACTTTTTGTGGAAAAGCGGAAATACTTTTGAGAATCCATCATGCACACTCATTTCACATGTTATTGCTAGGGGTAAACAAAATGTTGAAGCTTACCATGGATCCCAGAGTAAGAAGTTCACCTATTCCTAAGTGTGTCTTACAAAAGTCTTAGGAGACTTTTTAGAACTATGTAAGGGAGAGTGCTTTCATTTATCATGATGATTTTGGAGAGATGCTATGGGCATTTAATGAGAAATAACCAAGAGAATGTTCATGCTAACGTTCACAGAGAAATCCAGCACGGAGATATTATGTGTAACCCAAAGGAAGTGTTCACATGCTTCTCTGTATGAAGGAGCTGGGAGCCTTACCAGGAATTTTCCTGTAATTATGAAAAACAGTGGGAGGTAGCTAAGAGGCTCCTCTGTAGTGCTAGGAATGGTGACAGTGCAAGCCTACACTGCACCAAGGACCCACAGACAGCTAGCACATGCAGGAGGGGCCTGCAGACTCAGAAAGGGACTGTGAGAGTTTCTTGTTATGCTGGATTTTTAATAACTTCATGTGCCCCCCACCCTATTTTCTTCCTCCAGCCCTTCCAATAATGCCAAACCTAATTTCCTATGTTAAATACCTCTTTGTATGAAATGCCTGATCCTCAGGAAGATTAAACAAGATGTCTAAGCTTCCTGATGAAGCACACGATGAGAAAATGCCCTGCAGCCTGCATCTTTCAAATCTCCTATGGCAATAAGCCTACCACAAATACACACTGCTAATGCTTCAGTGCATAAGCATACTAAAAAGTTTTTACACAGAGTTACATGAAAGGTCTAATCTTTTCAGAAATTCTCCGTGGAGTGGGAAACGTAAATGAGGTTAGAGACATTATCTCAAAACTGTTAAACAACTTTCCATTCTGACTGCTCGGCATGATACAGAATTTCCAAGTACACATTTGATGGGGTCAGTCTCAGGGCCGTGGTCCGTTTACAGCAAAAACTATAAAACTAAATATATGCCAGAAAGCTCAATACACCTCTCAACTGACTCGGAACCAAATATTAAAGAAGGCAGGAAACTCACCGTACTTTATGAATAAAATTTACAAATAATGTCTCACATTATTGCCATCTTGTTTTAATTTTCTGAACACAATGATAAGAAACCTACAGTGTGACCGCACATGTTTTATGATTAATGGGGGAGGTGCCTGTAACTCTTCAGCATTACCCTGATGAGTGAGGCAGGCTTCTGGGGAAGTCTCACAGCCTCAGGTCCTGGCTGTGGTGGTAGTGCTTCTCCCAGACCTTCCTGATGTTGCTTCCTACTCATGGTTGTGGCCATGAAAGTCCTTCCCAATGCCAGACTGAAAATACGCCTCAACATGCAGTGGGATTTCAAGATAGAAGATATGTTTTATCGTGTGATTTCATCTCTACTCTAAACCATGTCACAACTCCCAACATTCCTCTCGTGTTAGTTATGTTTAGAAACCAGGTTCAGTTCATTTGCATGAATGTAATACTTCCTCATTTTCTTGGTTTCAGGTGTCTGTAATTTGTCCTGTTACAACCTCCTGTAGTTATCACTGTTTCCCTCGTTTTCATGGGCAAATAAGTTTGTTGTGTTCTTACTTCACCTACTAGCTATTATTCAACATCTCACAATTACCTTTGAGCTTTCCTTTGCCTGTATTCTGTGTAACGCCTTCTGATCTATCATTTTTCCCCAACCCAGTGTAGGAATGGATTGATCACAGACAGAAATGTTATATCTTCCAGAGTAGTTATTTACATGTTGAAATACATATTATTTTATAATATTTTCAGGTAATTTCTTTGATTTATTAGAGCTGGAGCATTATATTCATTTTCAATCATGAAAACCTACACATTTCATTTTAGGACACTATGGCAAGTATTGCAAAACAAATGCTTTAAAAAGAGGTACGTGACGGGTTTGAAATGCCTAAGGACCACTGTGATAGGCCGAGATGTCCATTAAATCAAGATGCAATTTATCAGCTGTTGGCTTGCTCATGGGCGATTATGTGTATGTTATCTCCTTCATTGTATACAAAGGTCCTTGTAAAAACTCTGTATCTCACATTTTCTTCATTACTCTACCATGCTGCCACATTGAATACTTTCTAAAGGATGAATAGATTCTTAACAAGTCTCTTGCTGCAAACAGAAATGGTATTCTCAGAAGATATGAACACTATCCTCTTCAGTGACTGTGTACTTCTGATATTTATCTTCATTTACAGTGGGATATCCTGCTCCTTCTTAACTCCTGGGCTACCAGAGACTTTATTTTGATCAGCTTCGATGACATTTCAAAAAAGATTTTTGGAAAGTATAATGATATATGTCCTTATTAAATGTGTGTGGATGTGTGTGTGTGTGGGGGGGGGTGTATGCGTGCACAAGTGAGTGAGAGAGAAAGAGAGAGAGAGAAAGAGAGAGAGGGAGAGAGAGGGAGAGAGAGGGAGAAGAGAGAGAATGAATCAGAGACTGCAGACAGATCTTTGAAGTGGCATCCTTGCCAACTGATCACAGCAATGAAGGATACAAGGTAGTTCACAAAAATTATTCTGTGTTATGGGTGTATCATAAACAATCCTTACAACAATAAAACAAACAACATAGTGGATCTTATCTTTTTATCTAAAATTTATTAAAAGCCAGGAAAAAAAAAAAAAAACCACACACCTCTATTTCCCAGAGTGCTTTAGAACTAGTAGCGGAAGTTGCTGATTGCCGCAAAGTTGTACGAAGGAAAATGTGCTGTTTTTTCTCATATTCGTCACAAGTCAGAAACTTCTCTTGTTCTGCGTGAAACAATCTAACAACGTCACCCTGGAAAAACATGTCAAGAAACACTACATCTGAACAAACAGATATAAAAGCAGGAGTATCTTCTCAATTTTGATCCTCTGAGCCCTTCCGCTAGCTATTTGGCTTTGAATGATTATCTGTGCATATTAAAGTATTGGGGGGAGAAACTCAATAAAACATTCATAGCCAGAATTAAGGTTTGTGGTCACAATATAAATCATAAATACTAGTGAATACATAGGTCTTACATCTGGAATTTTAGGAAGAATACCTTCATTTCTTCCAGGAAACGTTCCCCATAGCACATACTTACTCCTTTTAATACATCTTCTCGGTAGGAGCTAAATTTCATGAATAAAGTGATTTTCCAGCTAGTGTTGCAATTAACGGCATTCACCTATGAATGAAGAAATGTTAAGAGTTATAAGCTGGTAAGTTCTTTCTTTTGCAAGAAATTACTTCAACTGGTAAAAGAAGAAAAAAAAGAAAATCTTGGACAACAAAATATGTAGTATCTTCAATAAAAATATCTTCAAAGGACCAAAAATAGGTAATCAGTATCTACAGGTAACTTAGGAATATTAGTTAGCATCTCCAGAATTATACTTATGAAAACAAAGCAACTGCTCTCTCTCTCTCTCTCTCTCTCTCTCTCTCTCTCTCTCTCTTTCTCTCTTTCACAAGAAAAATCGCCAAGTCCATGTCCTTTCCTGTAGAACTTACCTCCTTGCAGCCTGGGTTGTCCAGAAGTTCTATGTTGCTGGCGTGTAGTGGCTGTCCTGCATTCACAGGCATCAGAACAACTTTGTCTCCTACAACGATCTGGAAATCAGAAATAAATTGCAATCCAGACACTGTATGGATCTGTGGTATTACATTGGAAATTAATAATAACTGCACAAGAGTCCTCATTATCGAGTTGACCCAGGTCCCTTTATCCTCCGCAAAAATTCTAGTTCAATTCTTTATCTCTCTGAGGCAAAATAGCTTTAATAAATGATAGTGTAATCATGCTCCATATTTTCTAACAGTCTGGATTCATAAAGCTAGCGCAGATCTTTCTCTCATTAGTCTCCCATTTCAGTTGGAGCTTTCTCAAAGTTGATCATTTTTCCTCCCCACGAGCTCTTAGGCCACAAGCACAGCAGATAGAGTGTAAATGCATCTGCCACAATGAGACCAGTCTATGTACATATTGGAATCATTCCAAGGGCAAGCCAAAAATGTTATATATTTGTGCTATTCCTGCAACGAGAGAGAAGTGATATACTTGATCTTCCCATAATCTCAGAAACTTAGTAAACATTCTAATGTCATCTGGATTCAGGAAATACAAGAAGGTATGACCTTGTAAAAGCATGTTTTCTGTTTGGGCTTTTGGCATCTGATTCCCTCTTATTTTAAACATCCGAAATTAACATGGCTCCTTAAACCCGATGTTCCCTTTTAAACACAAACTCAAATTGGTTCTGGGAAAAATGCTCAAAAGTAGGTCAATGCTGATTTTTATTTATGTTATCATAGCAGTGTCTACTTTATCTTAAAATATTTTTACTTGGAAACTGTGGGAATTAAAGTTATCCTTTCTTACTGATAATAATGAATAAGTTTAGTTTAGTTTATAATCTATATTCTACTGCACTTTTCTGTAGGCTTTGGGTTAACTCATATGTCATATTAACTTCAAAATACCACCTATTATATTTGTAAAACACTAGTTATATAGCCAAATGCTTCTTGAAGTCTAGGATACAACTTCCAAGAGGTCATAAAGACAGTATTTATACATAGAATCTAATATTAATCTACTAATTTCACTTAATTGACATTGCTAAATCTCTTTTCTTTTAATTGGAGCATGCTAATAATACACAATGGCAAGGTTAGTTTGGGGCAACTGGCTCATGCATTCAACATATCTGGATCACTGTCAGTCCAATTTCCCCCTTTCCAGTCCCCTTCATTCCCTTTCCCCTCTCCGATATTCTGTTCTCAATTCTAGAATTGCTCACCATCTCAGAAGTGAAAACAAAACCTTCCCCTTGCGTGTTTCATACCAATTAAACATTAAGAGACTAGTGTGATACACAGCTGAAGAACAAATTGGGACTCAGAACTTCTCCATGCATCTTAACCCAATCCAAAATTTTAAAGGACATCATTCCATGAAATCAGTATCAGATAACCTTCTATAGATCATAGAGAGGAGTCTCCCATCACATGTGTTACTGTTGTCACAATCTATATCTGAGATGCAAATATGATAGAGAAATCTCAAGCACACCAATCAGACAAAGCCACTTGGTCGATAGAAATAGCTTCTACTGTTTACAGGACTAGTCTCCATTCATCACTGACGTTCCAAATCCATCGTAAGTGAGAAGCTATGACTCACAAAGACTCATCATAGAAGCTCTTCATGTACAGATAAGGAAAGAGCAAGAAACACTATTAAGGGAAAAGATAAAGGAGGCAACCAAGACATACAGGATGTTATCTTCCATGTAAACCTGAGAGGAAAGTAACAGGAGTGTATGCCTGAGGAAGTATCTGCAGTGGCTGACTGTGTAAGCAGGCAAAGGGATTGGGCAAATGGAAAAAAGGGTAAGAGAGAGACTTTTCACAGTCTTTGTAGTATTTTCTATCTTGGAACCACAAATTGGTGAATCTTTTAAAATTAAATCACAAACAAAAACAAATTAAGGTTAACTTGGTTTAAACATTTCAAATACCTTCCTCCCTTAGGAAAATAAAACATACTATTGAAGTTATTTCCTATGACATCAAGACAATACCAGATTGCAGGGCCCCAAGAAATCGTCAATAATATAAATTACTGGGAACTCAATACTGTATCTGGCCAGTGCTACATCTGATCATCCAATTTCTTTCTTAAAGAACAACTGGGTTTGATGTACTATTTCATTTTCATCTGCACCATATAATTATTAGCCAATAAGCTACTAAACATCATGATGTATTATTCTAGCTATGTCCTTCTGACTCAGCACTTTGTTTGACCTGTCTTCCCTGCTGTGTCTTACTGTTATTTCATGTTATATTTACTTCAAAGCACCACCCAAGAACTCATCTGTATTCTTCAGAGAGCAAAGCGTGTAGCAAAAATGTCTCTTGATATCTATGAAACAGCTTCCTAGGGTTTATGAGGACAGTAGTCATAAGGAGAATGTAACATTAATTCATTAATTTTCAGGTCCTCGGTCTTGTTCTTGATAATCTCTTGGTCTTGATAAACCCAGATGAATAAAAACTTGCAGACAAAATGGACAATAGGCCAATCGTGCCAAATAAAAAGAATAATGCATATGCAAAATTGTCCCTATTTGCAGAGAATTCACACTTTATTATGTGGAAGTTGCTAATATGCTCAGAAAAATGTAGATTATGGCCTGATCCACTGACAGGGCTGGATGCTTTATGAGAAATTGTATATTTAGTACAGGACTTGAGGGTGTAGTTCTTTTATGTGACATCCTAGGATTAGCCATCACATTCACTCACAGTGCACAAACATCTTTTTTAAAAAAATGCAATTCCAAAAGCATTTCTGTTGATTCTATGTAACAGCCATGTAAGATTCAAGCTGGGCTTTTGCTGAAAATAAAGAGCAATGTAATGCCATTTGCAGCTAGCCTCCTCTTGAAGCGGCACCTGGTATCGTGAAAAGAACACCTCAATAGGAATCAAAACACCAGGGTTCTACTTCCACCTCTGCTAGAAATGCAAGGAATAAATATTTTTTTAAATAGAAAAAGCTACTTGCTACCCAGAAAGACTCTCTTTCCTTAAGAGCTGAGATTTAAAGCACAACTGGCTTCTTTACACTTTCAAAATGTACCATCAAGTAAAGAACTAATGTCGTCTTAGATCAAAATTGAAAATAAAAAATTAACTACTCTATCATGAGAAGATAAGTGAAAATGAAATATTGATGCTCACTGCTCATGGGTGTCTCAAATAAATTTCTAAATATTCAACAGCAAGCAAACACTTTCTATGCAGCTGAAAGTTAAAGGATCCGTGAATCTATATGTCCCCCAAAACCATCCTAAGTAGAGGACATACTAGAAGATAGAACATAGTCTCTCACGTATATTATAAAGGCATATTTAAGTAGTAGAAACCACTGATTTCTGAGAATATGAGCATCTTTCTCAACTATCCCAGACTATCTTCTGCTTCATTCTTGCACTTGATATAAATCACAAAACACCCTGTTGAATATGTACAACCTAAATCATAACTCATTGCTCATAGTAGATTATAATTTTAAAGTCTTCTAACCATTGCAATTTCCTCTTAGATTAATATGCTTGTAAAGACAATCAGTAATGGTTGAAACACTTCCTAAGAAGTGACAGTGTTTGTAGTTGCCTTCAGCAAGGCACAATAGATTCATATCTCAGAAAAATATTACCTATTCCTGTCGGGAGGAAATGGGGGTTACAACACAACCACTTATGTGGCTGTGGGTGCTTAGGCTCTTCACAGCAACCTTAGTGACACACAAAAGCAATGCAGTGACAAGCAACAAGAGCGTGCTATTTCAGTAAAAAAAGCAAGGTGGAGGTTGCTTGAGCCATGCCGTAGGGAGCACACCTAACAAGGACAGTTCCTTTGCCGCACTTAATAATTCCACTGTCCATTTTCACCAAGACGGAGCAGTGGAGTAGTGGGCTTTGCTTTGTTTCATTTTCTACTATCACTAAGTATTTGACACAGTTTGACACACATTACATTCAACTCTCTATTGACCCTGCAAAGTGATCTGGAAGGTGGGCAGGTGAGAATGAATACACAGAGTGAATTAATAAAATCCACAGTCAATCTAAAGCCCCAAATATATCCAAGCATTCATACACTCTTTCTGAATTTGAGGTCAGGTTTTGTTCTCTTTTATGTTTAATTTTTATGGACCACTTATAGATTGGGACACCACTCCACGATAGGTGCAGTGGGGAATAAGCATTTTAAGAAAGATCTCCGAGGCATGAGTCATTTATATACTGCATAATCAATGGCTGAATAATTGAGAGTTGACTGTAATTGACTTCCTATTAAATTAAAATAAGTACCATGCTCAGAGCACACATCACTTGATGCCGAAAGAAAAACAAGTAAGACTTATTATTGTAAGAACTCCAACACGAAACTTAAAATGCATTACATTCCTGCATGCCATGCTTCTCCCAGGCCTTACCTAAGGAAGGTATCACCAGATAATTTACTAAGCCAAGTAAATCATGAAGGCTGCATCCTGTGGATGGAATGTGCACTTTGAAATTCACTGGAAAAATAGACTCACTACAAAAACAAGACATTTCTAAGATAAGAAATACCCAAAACATTTAAAATGTAATCAAAGGGTTGACTGAGAAAACTGCCAAAAGAATTAAGCTTCTAACTTTGAAGACATGATGTTAATTTTTAAGATCTCCACCCGGCCTAATATTTGTAAAGTGTTCTAGTTATGAAAGTTATTCCGTGTTCTGGGTCAACCGGCATTCATTAGGCACCAGCCCAGTGCTAGAGATTGCCACCTAGTATTTATTTATCACGCTCAAAAATATCAAATTATTGATGCTACAAAGTCATTTCCCATCATTTTATATGACAATATGCACATTTTTCACAACTGACTTTAAATATAATGGTCATCAATAAGTAGATGCAACCTACAGCTTCTCATATGTCAACATCTATTAAAACATATGGATTGCAAGAAGTTGGCCAGGGGCCAGGAATATTGCGATGATCCATGGGGTTATTCTATTAGCTCTCACTGGGCAGACATCCCTGGGTAAACGCAGCTATTTTCCTTACAAACATGCTCCCTCCATTCAACGCAAGGAGATAACTTCTACCTCTCTTAGAAAGTCTCAGCCAACATTAAGGTTGCTTAAGTTCTGTCATCCACACTCTAGCTAGAAGTCGATTTTAAATTAATCTGCATTCTGTCTTTTGATGATTTCTGAGCACAATCTGTACCATAAAAAGGCGAAAGACTTATGCGATCTGAAGAGAAACTAGAGTATAATCTGTACTATAAATAAATCAGTTAGCCTTGTAAAGATATTAACACAAAAATAATGTGTTGATTAAAAGCTCTCTTTCTTTGTACTTCCTGGACTCCCTTCCAGAGTAAGACTGTTTTTACGAGCCTGCTCTTTCCCCCTCAATTTGACATTTACGTACATTGTCACCCTCACTTCTCAGCTTCCAGAAGGGATGAATATAAAACCAGGATCCTTCATTTCCTGCAGCATCCAAAGACACTCGCATGGCATTCTTCTCCAGTAACGCGGGCAATCTCTTGTTGACAGTCAGATATTTGTTGCTTTTTATATGTAGTAGCTACAGAGAAAAGACATGCATTACTACCTTTATTCCTTGGTCTCCTCTGTTAATTGAATATATATATCCAGGTAACACAGCTTGACATGGAAATTAAGGCAGATGTTTCCAGTCTCCACAAACACCACCTTTTCCAAGCTGACTTTTCTTTAGATTCCTATTCATCTCCACCAATTCTCCTTCATAATGAAATGGGCATATGAAGAAATAAACCAGAGGACAGAGGAGTGCTTTTCCTCATCTAATGATAAATAATGGACTAAAACCAGGCTTTCCAAAGCAGACCTGAGCTGGTTATGGTGGCGCATGCCTGTAATTCCAGCACTTGGGAGGCTGAGGCAGGAGGACCATTGTGAGTTCGAGACCAGCCTGGGCTACAAAGTGAGCTCAAGGCCAACCTGAACTGCACAGCGAGATCCTGTCTCAAAAAGACAAAAAAACCCACAAAAAAAAAAACATAAAACAAAGCAGACCTGAAACTCCCCCAAACCACGCCCTTTCTCAATGCCTACAACAAAGGAAAACGTAGAAACTGAAATAATGGAACAACCTACTTGGCACGATTAACCATCCCCTCCTCCCCAAGATAGCCCTGTTTTCCTCTGGGAGGAGACAACTATGTATTCTAACTTGGCTCCGTGCTTTCCTCAAGAGGATGCTGACCCTACCTCCTTCTCAGACAAGTGCAGAAGCACTATTCCCCAGATTTTTTGGATTCTATGGACAAAGTCTTTCCAAAATATAATCCTACTGAGTAGAAAAATCAAAACAAAATACATTAAGCCTCCCATCTATCACTAAAATCATTTCAAAAAAGAATAATCACTTAGTACCTAACTGTGAGAAGGAAGGTATCTCAAAACAAAAGGCAAGTTCTTTAACTGCAAAAATAATCATCTTTCTCGGAAAGCCCACCATCATACCTTGAATTCTCATTTCAGCAGAAAACAACAGAAACTCTAGTGGGCTGACCCCACCACTCTGGGTTCTACCGTGTTACAGCCCATGGCTCTACCTGAGCAAGCTAACACTGGCACTTCAAGGACTTAACAAGGAACATAAGCTCCACTTGGTAGACTTAATCATCAAAACTCTCTTTCTGGAGGATTGCCCAAGAGACACGCAGCTCCCCCAAGCCAAGGTATCACACTGTCTATCATTAGATTAAGTCCCAAGTTCAGGAAGCTCCAACCTTGGGCTCCTCATCTTGTCCCGCAAGAGAACTGCTTACCCCGTACTCGGGCATTTTGCCACTGGTCGGTCAACAGCAAAATACCAGGAGATATTATTTTTAAAAACAGCTGCATGAAGTACCTCATTGTAGTATTTACCGTAAGGAAGTTGTTAAGGCTATTGTTTACTATATTAAACAGTGTCCTCTTTATGACTGTTCTTGGGAGAAACACTTCTCTGGTCTTACTGCTGGGAACAGTAGTGCCTCAAGACCTTGGATTTGGTTATACGTCACGGGCTTCCTATACCAATGCTGCTAACATACTGTTCTTCCCTAGGGCTAAGCAGACAAGAAGAAGGCTTCAGGCCAAAGTGTTCCAGACTTTATAGCATGGTTTTCATGAGCATGCCTCTCCCCTAATCTCAGCTTATTCATTCAATCATTACTTTTCCCTCTGACCCAATAGCCTTCATCATTTGTATTTTATTGTGCATGCATTTTGGAAAATGCTTTACATTCTTTTTGGAACAAGGTAGGACATTTATTAACAGAAAACCAAGTAAAAAGGCTAAAAAGATCTAAATGAAGCAGAGGCAAGGAATGCAGCTCAAGGAAACCCATATGCATGCAAAGTGAAACAGGAGACCTTCTAGCAGTAACCCAGTGACGGTCTCCACAGTGCGATTTGAAAACTTTCCCTCCCTATGACATGAAAAGATAAAAGTTCCCCACATCGAACACGAACTTCATTAAACTAAAGGACTGTATCTTACAGGTTCTTGCAAATTATTTCCCCACTTTCTTCCTTTTGATGCAATAAATCACGCATATATCTAGATACATTATTTCTTTAAGTATATCCATCAGACTTAAGCGCTTTTTTCAGTGCCGGGGATGGAAGCCTGGTATCACACATGCTAAGCAAGCGCTCCACCACTCAACTAAGCTGGCCCTCTAGTCCCAGCTGGCTCTTTAACCTACAGCACAGTACACAGAGTACCAACTACTCACAATATGTGTAATTTCCACTAATGAACAAATTATTATATCTCAGCGTTTTCACCAGTCTGCCATTCTAACCCGTAGGGACAATTTGGAAAATTACCCATAAGATATTCACCATTTTTAAGAGAAAATAAATAGAAACTTACTTGTATAACATTACTGTATTTCACAATTTCTCCCAACAGCTTCTTATTTTCTGATTCATTTTGTTTTTGTTCCAGTTCTGCAGCATGCTATGATTACCAGATATTCAATGGGGAAACATAATAAACAGAATAGAATAAGCGACAAGGAAATAAATATTTTTAGTAGCAAGACTATAACCACAAATAAAATGGAACAGTGGCTTTATACTTTGAAGCTTGGGGAGAGAGGCAGAAAGGGGATAATAATTAAATTAATGATCATAACACAGTGTGAAAATTACTCAATTTATGCTGAACTGCAGCCAAAATGTCTTGAGGCACTTTTATATTAACAATTCCAGAAAAGTGCCTGGGTTTTAGACTTAAAAGATTTCTTTAATAAGGAGAATTGCCAGGAACACCAACCCAGATAGTAGATGAATTGCAGAAGACAAAAAGCTCAGTTTTCAGTTCTGAAAATAACAGGAGTTTTAACGTTACAAAATTAAGGCCTATTTAACTTATACTTCACCAAACCAGAAACTATAATCTTTCAAATATTTTTCTATACTCTTTCAGACTGAAAAGAAAAAGTAAGCACTGTGTCAGGTAAAATACAACTGGAATTAATTTTCCCACAAAAATTCTGAACTGGTTTTCAGTTTGATGTGAAGCTCTGAGTTAGTCTGGCACACCCTAAAAAGAAAAAAAAGCAGTAGGAATGTGCTATCTACACTCCAGGAAATAAGGCAGGCACACCCTAAAACTTAAAACGCTCTACTTTTCAATGTATTGTTACATCCACCTGAAATCTCTGTGTACTGGGTGAGATTACAAAGCTGAGAAGTGGGAAATAACGAGAACATCTTTTGTTATTGCTGTTTCTCGTCCAGCTTAAACAAGACAAATGCAGTCTGGCTCGTACCTGTAGTTTCTTCAGCAAGGCAGCCTCTGTGTGGTTTCCTTGTTTGGCTTGCTTCGCTTTCCAATATTGCTTCTGGGCAGAATATCGATTCATAGGACACACCTTGAAAAGGCAGTCTACGACAAACCAACAAACACAGACATTGTAACTAAGGTTACTAGCATTTCTTAGCTATCCTTACAGCCTATTTTGGAACCCTGGGATTTGTTGAGTATAAAGAACATGAAAAGGTCATACAGCCCATCCTCGCGCCAACCCTTAAATTCCCTCTATGACATCCTTTTCAAATACTTCGTTATAATAAATTATCACTAAAATAATCTCTTGTTCATTGGTTATTTTTAAGAATACCTTAGCCAATGTTTTTGGTAAAGAAAGCAAATTAATGTAATTGTTATGTTACAAAGCATTTCTTAATTATAACGGGGGGACTTGGCCTTAGAAAGTAAATAAAATGAAATAAGTGCCTTATTTGACCTTGTCCAATTAATGCTTTTTTTGTGGTATGTAACTTTGACAACTAAAGTGACACAGAAAGTAGAAACGATCACAGCTGATCATTATAATCATCCATTCCTCAAGTTTCCAAATAACTGGAGTGAATATGGCATGGGAATCTGAGAAAGAGTATGTTATAATGGAAAAAGAAAGCTACCAGTGTTATACTCCTGATTCTACTCATAAATATCAAAATAGGAAATAACCATAGTCAGTGATCTCTGTTAATCAAAAAGCAATATATATATATATATATATATTTTAATGAGGAAAAATGAACACCTTAACTGTCATATGTTAATGATTTTACATACTTGTGGAATGGATTTCAATCTGCAGTAAAATCAATTTTCAAGACTCTATAATGAAGAGGTAGTGATATAGAAAATCCAGATATTAGTTTTACTTTTTCTCTCAAAAAAGTATATAAATCCATATAACAAATTTAAGGGGTTTTGGAGAGGTTTTTTTCTCTTTTTGAGACTGCATCTGGCTATGCAGTTAAGGCTGGCCTTGAGCTCACTTTGTAGCCTAGGCTGGTCTCGAATTCGCAACGATCCTCCTGCCTCAGCTTCCTGAGTGCTGGGATTACAGGTGTGAGCCTCCACACCTGGCCGATTAATGTGTTAATATTTGAAATCATTCTCATTCTTCAGATATGTTACCACAAAAAGAAAATTCAGTCAACTCAAATATCCACGTAACCCCAGTATTGACTATTGTAATGGTGTAAGTGGTCAAGAAATGTGACTAGAATATTTAAAGAATTTAGAAAAAAAAAAGAAAAGAAAAAGAACTGACTTTTTTCTATGCCTTGTAATTATGAACACCAATTCTGTTGCTTGGCTCTCCCTCCACCTTCACACAAGGCTATAGAAAACTAAGTCTTCATATCTATCTTAAAAATTCTAACACAGATAAGTAAAGATGTTAAAGGTGGCAGAAAACACATGCTGTGAACTGCTAAAAGTAGACTGAGACACCATCGCAATTACAATATGATATAGTAACTGCCACCAAGCACACACATGTGTAAACCAAAAGCAAACACCTCAAAACTGATTTCCTTTGCAGTGTATCTCATAGGCCCTAGCAATCATTTACTGTGTGTTAACAACTACAACAAATTATACAAAGACGTAGAAGCACAAACATAAAGGTTGTTCACAAACATTGCCTAAAGAGTGCTCCTGATGTAACCCAAGGTTATTTTGACTATCCAGTATCAGGCAAGTGACAAAACACCACGTTATTTTCATGTAGCAAAAATACATATCCATGTTCAAGCAGAACTGCACTCTGTAATCTGCAGCCTATACCTCTGAATTTATTAGTGTATGAAAAGAAAAAGAGAAAATGTATGTCCACTACTATAGATTCCTGATTAGGGTCATTAAAAAAGAGTCTTTTGACAGAGAAAATATTTTTATTGCTTCCAAAGCACACCAGTAGCACTGCTAATGAGTGGTAGGTATATTTGGGTAGCTGAGTAAACCAACTGTGTCATAGCCAAACACTTCTGATCATGTGGCCGGGGTCACTGTGAAGTGAAGCCAAACATTTGGCCAACCCATGACCTCTGTTTACTGTAATCATCCTTAAGGAAATATGACCTTTGCCGCCAGGCTTTGGGACTCAAACCTGGCTCCCAGAAAGCTCAGTCTACTTGGAGTTTCACAGTGGAACTCTGAAGAAGGAGCTGTGGTTCCAAAGAAGAATGTAGCCTAGTTTACCAGGAAGGGAGGCCACAGAAGCCTTCCGAAAGGAGAAGAAAAGAGAGGACACAGCCCATTTTTAAAGAGCCAATAGTAATTCAGCACATGACTAAGGAGATCCAAGTGCAGAGGGAAGGGCATTCCAAACAGAGCCAACAGCAATACAAAGGCACAGAAGAACGCTAGGAACCGATGACTGCAAGAAAACTAGCACCTGGGCTATGAAATGAAAGTGGAGTGATAGCGTGAGGTCAGGACCTGCAGCCTTATGTACTAGTATGAACAACATCCCATGGAAAGTGTTACTTAAACTCTTAGGGGTGAGTCTTAAGCCCTCACAGCATATGAAAGATGGCAGGAATACGGGGCAAGAAAACCAACACAAAAGCCCATTGGCAGTGTGAGGGGAGCCACTGGGCATGTGAGCTGAGGCTGGACAGCAGCTTTAAGGAAACCACAGAGTAAGAAAAGTAGCAGACCCAACAGACTAATAACCTAGTAGATGTGGGGCCAGGAAAAGGTGAGGGAGGGGGGTAAACAGGTTGACCAGATGACCAAGCTTCCTCCCACTAAGCTTGGGATACAGAGCGCTGGATTGCAAAAGCTCCTTCGGCAATCTTGCACGGGAGACATCTCAGTTCATATTACAGTAAATGACCGATCTCCTTCTATGTGGGAATCAAAACTGCAGAACTGTTTGATATAACAGGAAGGAATGTTAGGCAAACACAGGCTTTTGGGAGGGGGTATATGTGTGTTTAATTTTCTCTTTCTGCCTCATTTAGAACACATTTTTTAAAAATCTACTTATCTCCAGCTGGTCACGTATTTGGTCCAATTCTAAATTTAGTGCGTAATAAAAGTGTTAATAATACCTGCCCCACCTAACTCGTAGTGCTGCTGAGACGCACAGAAAGATAATCTGTGTGAAAGTTCCCTGTGAACTTTGAAGCCCTATTATAAATGTGGAGCATTATTATTAATATTGCCTCATTCTTTCGGTAATAACCTTGTTAAGATGAAGAGATGACTAAACCCTTCTAGGGCTCCCAGCATGGAGCAACAAAATGTGGGGTGCTGGGATTAAACCTGAGCCCATACAAAAGGGGGGCCATTAAGGATAAGGCACTCCCTTCCTAGGTATAAAATGCCACAGGGGGTTTTGTGTAAAATTCTGAAACCAAATGGTGGTGAGCAGAATATACACTCTCTATTACCTGAAATAGATCTGAAATATGCAGGACCATCACTGGGCTTAGTCTGGGTGGAGGCTTTACCAACCCCGCCTTTTGCCTGCATGAGGGAACTCACCTACTTCCAGGCTGCCAGGTGTCCTCCACCCTCCACACCCTTCTCTCTAGTACTCCTTGAATTAGAGTGGTAGATATGCATTTTCTTTTTGTTAGGGATATCTCCGGTTAGGAAGCACCTCAGTGCCACATTTTCATTGGGTAACAAAGTTTTCAGCATTCCAAGACAAAAGGAATTTTAAAAAGAGAAAGGAAAGAAAAGCCTGTCTCAAAGCCAGCATGGTGGCGCAAGGCTATAATCCCAGTACTCGGGAGGCTGAGGCAGGAGGATTGTTGCAAGTTAGAAACCAGCCTGGACTACAAAGTGAGCTCAAGTCCAGCCTAAACTGCATAGTGAGACCTTGTCTCAAAAAGACCAAAACAGAAAAAAACGAGGCTGGGGATATAGCTCAGTGGCGTAAATCCCTGCCTGGCAAGCGGAAGGTCATGAGTTCGATCCCCAGTACCAGGGCAAAAAAAAAAGTCTTTCTCAGTCTCTAGAAGAAGCACCAACAGCACAAGTAGAAAGAAGTAATTTGAATTTAACCTTCAGACCCGAGGCCAACAGTTTTGCAGAAATACAAAAGTTCAAGAATCGTCAGGAATCCAAGGAGATATGCTATGTTCAGTCAAGTGATATTATAAGAACAATGGCTTAAAATCAGAAATTTTTTAACAATCATGGAAGAAAGCTAAGCTGGAAGTATTCACTGTAGCCTGGTTTCAAATACAGATGAAAGGAAGAACAACAAAAGATCTTCACATAGTGTAACTTATCATGTACCACTGTGAGTCAAAAGACTAACCTCCCCCCTTGATTCCACACAAATCTGGCAGGAAACCCATCTCCACTTCACTTTCAATACCCATCTAAGTAATTTCAAAATGTACTGCTAAAATATTTGTGTCTGAGGCAGTTCTGCCCCTCCTCCGTAACTAATTTTGGTACTAAATCAAAGCTATTGTATATAAAGCTCAAGTCACATCTTTGCCAGCAGCTTTCCTTTAGTAATAGTGGAAAGCAAGCCTGTTTTTTCATTTCTCCCACCTCCTAAAGATGGCTTCAGATTTAAACGAGGCAAAGCATATCAAACCATCAGCAAGCACCTGTCACAAGGCAGACATTCAACAAATGGCTCTTTCATGGTCACTTGTAAAATTACCCCACACTGATAAAGGAAACATGGCTGCCAAGGACTTTATTACTTCCACGTGGAGGAAGGTGGGGAGAAAGAGGCTCTAAGACTTTTCTTTTTCTCTTTGTAATATCAGAGGATGCAGCAGAGTTCCATGGCGACAATGCACTCTGTGACAAAGAGCAAGCTAAGACCTGCCCAGTGATAAACGGAGAGCGGTAAGAAAATTCTCCCTAGGGTAAGCGTCAGGCAGACAAGGCCACTACACACTAGTAATCAGAATTCACAGTTGATGACAGAAGTGGTGTGCACTCATTAGCCAAAACTATCAACTGTAGCTCTGTTTTTGTTTTTATTTGCTCTAAGAAATGCATGATGAAATACAGTGTTTGTACAAAGAGCTTTCTGTTTAGCAGTCTTTAAAACTGGTGTGTTTTGCTTTGTTTGAGCGTGGAAATTTCAAGCCAAACATCTACCT